CCTGTTTTTCTTCAAAGCCTAACTGATGTTTTAGTTTCGTTATTTGCATTAAGATGACATGCATTGAGACTTCCTATAACAGGGCATTCAATTTGGTCTGCCACATACATCCTTAGTCTGCAAACTCTTCCACTGCTCAGTGCCATAGCAGAGCACACACATCCTTAGGGGGATGTCTCATATTGAAGAAGCTAGTTTCCTAGTGAAAGGTAGAAAAATAGAGAGAACTCAAGATTGAGTTTGAAACCAAAATCTAAATCCCTATGCACATATGACTAGAATTCGGGAAGCTTTTGCCCACTATGACTCCCTCAGAGTGTCAGCTCAGAATCATTCAACATTAGAAAGTTAAAATTTTAAAATGCCTCACCAAAGAGACTGGGTGCATGAACCATTTGACCTCTCCTAAAAGCAGGAAGAGGTCTCACCAAGAAATGAATTGCATCTTCTTCCAGCAATGATCACGGCTTGGGTGACAAAAAGGGTAATGCAGAGATGCTGATGTACAGAGGAGTAACACTTTCCAGCATCCAGGGGTGCCCAGTAGGCATGCCTCCATTTCATAAGACTGGAAGAAAAAGTATTTGCCATAATAAGGAGATTCTAAAAATGTTGGAATATTTTTAGAAAAATCTTAGCACACTGGCAAACCTATTATTATTCTCTCTCATCCATTCTCTTTCTTTTTGAATCTCTTTTCCCCTCTTTTCACACTCTCCTCCCTCCACACATACATTCACTTATGCATATACTAAATCTATGGACTAAATATACCAGGATGCCAAGAAATGCAAATCTCATCCTTCATTTTAAAATATTTAAGGGATACCTGACATCACTAATTCTACAAAAGTCTCCTGTAAACAGCAAAGACATCCTCCACTTTCCCTCTTCAAATCTGTGTACAAAACCACAAAATCCACATAGCTGATTTCCTGACCAACATCAGAAGACTGGTAAATAATGATATGCTATTCTAGGCGAGACAGTCTCTGTGATACTAAAGGCTGAGTTCCAATTCCCTAGACTCGTGCTCCATTCCCTTTACCTTACCTACTTAACTGCATCTGCCATCACATTCCCTTTGGTTTCTAAAGCCAACAATGTTCAGATGTGGCTAGGTTTGCACACTGATGCAAAAGTTACCCTTTTGCAGGCAGCACCAAACCTTAGGAGCTCAACAGCATGTCTACATATAAATGATAGCAGGGTTGCCAAGTAAGAAGCAGAAAGGGAGCGTGAAGAAGTCTACAAACTAACGTGGGTAGAAACTCTTTTGTATTGCTTGCAAGGAAATCACTGGGTGATCTTAGCTCCCCAACCATACTGAACTCTCTGTGGGCAGATGCTGCATCTCATATTTATTTGGGATCCCCATGGTACCTGCCACACAGCTGAGCACATTGGATTCTCTAATAATGCTTACTGATATCTAATGCCATGGTGATAAGGTATGATGGAGTGCTGCAAGGGAAGAAGTTCCAACTCCTTTATAATGCCACTGTAAGCCTTGTAACGGACTCTGCAGCTACAGAAGGGAATGGGTTTGTCACAAGGTAGCCCAGCTGAGAAACCTAATGTGCAGTGCTTTGGTCCCAACCTGGAGAGTAATAATGTAACATATGCTCAGAAAAGAAATGCTATCCTGAGTTGAACTGACGACCTGTTTACTTGTCTGTCTCCTTGTAAACTCCCTAGGGTCAAGGATCAAGTGTTTTATTTTTGGATCCTGGGCAAGTAGTACAGTGTCTAGCACATTCTAAGGGTGAGACAAATGCTATTGGGGTTAATTAATGAACAAATAAAAGAATGGTTTGATGAAATAATGTAAAGCAAAATGTAAGTGACATAAGATTTAATACAGAAGTCTCCATAGAATCTCATATTTATCACATCATAGCACTTACCACTCTGTTATAACTTCTTAATAAATGGTGGTTTCTTGGATGGATTAATTAATAGGAAAATATAAAGAGAAGGTAGGAAATATATCAGGATATTACTATCCTAGGAATGGAGAATATCCTATTGAACGCGATAGTAGTATAAATCATTCCATACTGCAAATCACCTGTTTGCTTGTCTCCCCTGTTAGAATGTACATTGCTTGAGACAACAGAACATCTTTTTTTATTTCTATAACACCAGAGCCTAGAGCAGAAAAAAAGCAGACCTTCAGTAAATATTAGCTGAATGTATGAATCAACCATTCTTGCTCTTCTGTAGATTTCACTGTACCTAAGTATTCTACCTAGTCCTCATTCAGGGGCTTCTGATATGGAAAGAAAAGGGGAAGTGTCATTTTCCCCATGCATAACTTTGTGACAGATGCAGGTTAAAATGGCCTGATTTGTGCTCAGTTGTGGGAGGGTCTCTCCTCTTTCTGAATGGGTTTGTCAGTTGAACTCTATAGGACTGCACATAAGAAATACAGACTTAGCCTCACTGTGTCTAGTACACACTGCCTTAACCCTTGACTAGCCCTAGACACTACATCTCTGTGATTTTCTTAAATAAGAAGAGCATGTGGCTTTGTGAGTTGGGGAGAGGATCAGAATTCAGACTTCCAATGGCTTTTCTAAATAATTGAAGCAAGGGCGCCTGGGTGGCTCAGTTGGTTAAGCGACTGCCTTCAGCTCAGGTCATGATCCTGGAGTCCTGGGATCGAGTCCTGCATCGGGCTCCCTGCTCAGCAGGGAGTCTGGTTCTCCCTCTGACCCTCTTCCCTCTCATGCTCTCTGTCTCTCATTCTCTCTCTCTCAAATAAATAAATAAAATCTTTTAAAAAAATAAAAAATAAATAAATAATTGAAGCAATATTTTATTGCATTCTTCCTATAGGAGAATCAAAAAGAACACCAAGGTCTTCAGTAAACCATGCAGACACACACAGCCATAGGTCTCCTGCCCCCTCTAAGTATCTCATAAGCACCAGAACCCACATTTCTCTAGTGCCTTGAATTGATTACAGAAATAATCACCAAGCCCTCAGATGATTAATCTCCACAAGCAATAGCAGTCAGCACCTGAACCCACAACCTTGCCATCTTTCACCTCCATTGTTTATCATCCAATAAGAATACTCCAACCACAACACTTTGTAGGTGTTATCTATACAAAACCAACTTTAATTCCTCTTTAGTTACAGTGTCTATGGGGTGACACTCAGGTGTGCAGGCCATCATAAATGACTCTCCAATTATTGTCTAGTGAAGAGATCTACGATTCAGGGAACACATATGTGTCATACCCTTTACATCACACAATGTCATATTATTCCTTGGACCAACCTTGCATGGTAGATGTGCCCATTATGTAGATGAGGAAACAGAGACTCAGAGGGATTCCATACCAAGAGGTGTCCCCAGATTCAAAATCATGGTCTACCTGACTGCACCACAGAGCACTATCTCTTCCTCTCCGTTGCTGAACTCTTAGTAGTCCACAAGTAGTCCTCTAAAAAGTCTATGATCTAGTTCCTAGTAGTATATACTGATATCCATAATTATAACTGTGCCTCTGTAGCGTGATATTGGATTTTCAATAAATCCTTATTTATAGATTTATAGATTGAAAATATTGGTGCTTTTGTTGCCGGCAGAAGATCATCGGTTTCTCATTAAAAGCAGTGCTTCTAGGTCCAATTACTTCTGATGAGAACGATTTTTCAGGAAACTAGGAAAAGCAATTGATCCAAATAGTCCTAAAACCCTTTGCCCTATGAAATTGATACAAATACTATGAGACAATTTTATATGCATCATAGCCTAAGTGTGTCAGGCTGAATTATTTCTGAGGCAGGAAGGTGTCACTGAAACAGCACTTGCCAGAGAGTTATAGAGCCCTGTGACCTAGTCTCTCCTCTCTCTCTCTCTCTCTCTCTCTCTCTCTCTGCGTCTCCATCTCCCTCTTCCTCTTCCTTCCTATCCCCCTCCTCTCTCTGTGTGTCTCTCTACACCCTGCTCTGTGAGTCTGAACAACTCCCTTACCATCTCTGGACTCTGTTTCATCTACTGAAGGGCAATCTATCAAGATAACTATTGCAAGGATCAAAGGAGACAATGGTTGTGCAGGTGCTTCAAAAAAATGTGGAAGCGCCTTTCAAATATACTGTATTCCTTTCATTAGTGGCCTGTAAGAGGGCATATGTCTCCCAGTGCATCAATTTCCAACCAAAGAGGGACTTAAGCAATTCATGGAAAAATGAAACCAACCTAAGAACTGTTACTTACAGCCTTCCACCCACCCACCCACCATCATCCATGTTATTATTTGTATTTCAAGAGCCAGCAAACATTGGACCACGTAGTGTTAAAAAATGCTTCCATTTGAAAACATTCATACCTGGTAAAGAGAAACAGAGCTACCTCAAATCATAGTTAATTTCTGAAATGTTCATTCTTAGTGACAGTTTCCAACCTCCTTGTTTGTCAAACGTCACCATGAGAACTACCAAGACAAGGCAAAGTGGCTTTTTAAAATTTTTTTGTTTGCCTCCCTTTAACCAGCCCATCCATATTCTTGGCAAAGTACACATATGACCAAAGAAAAAGCAAAAGGGGGCTTCAGGAAGCTGAATCACTCTCGCACTGGGAAATTGGCCCCTGAACATTCTAGAGTTCCCCCATCTTTAACACTACTTGTTGACTCTTTCTCAGCCACTTTAACTGGAATGCTGGTACCACTGGCTGGCAAAACACATACCCCATTTGCAACAGGTGCAGCAAATTCATATCATGCCAGAACACCATACAGAGATTTCAAAGGCACAGACCCCCCCTTGAGCTCCCATGCCCAACATCCACCCCTAAGGAAGCCCAATAGGTTGCCCCAAGAGACCCTGGTAGCAGACCCTGACTAGACAGAGAAGTTCTCCCCACCCCTGCCAGGGAATTCTCCAGCACAGAGGCCTAAGCGGTCTGGTTGGGGGCGGGGGCGGCGGGGAGCAGCATGGGAAAGAGATCTGGGAGGACCTCACAGAGCCCCTCAGCTGCACTCACCTCAGGCAGAGGCACACCGTTGATGATCAAGTCTGGCTGCTGGGGGCCCTGGCTGTTGAAAGAGTGATGATAGATGTGGTTGGCGCTGGTATTGCGGGTATTCTGGTTCTCCACATTCAGGAAAGTGCTCTCAGAGCGGCGGCAGCCCAGGGGCAGTGTCTGCTGGTGGTAGTCGAAATAGTTGAGGGAGGAGGTCAGGGAGGAGCAACTGACAACGTTCATCTTGTCTGTCTCCTCCACATCCCGGGGTACTAGACGGATGTCATTCTTACTGATTTTTTTCTTCTTGCTTGATTTCTTTTGATGCCCATAGGAGTACTCAGCGATTCTATGCGACAAAAAAAAGGGAGCAACATGTATTGCTAATGCCCTCCCAAACCATGCATTGATTAATAAATATTAAGCACCCCAGAGGGTTGCACCCCATCTCTGCTCCAGCTTCTTATTCTGGTGCATTACATCATCGGGTTTCTCCCTGCGTTTTTTACATGTGAACACAAGCTAAGGGCCATTCATTTTTTATATTAAACATACAAACCTCCCATTCCTCCATCCCCCCCCCAGAAAAAAAATGTTTCTATACTTTGGATGTGGAATTTCTCATCGTGAGTAGCTATTTAGCAAGGGTGGGGAGGACAGGGAAAGTTGAGCCTATGGGAGAGAAAGCATGAAAGTGCTCAAATCTGGAGCTCCCCCTGGAACCCAGAGGAACCCCTGGGTGAAATAAGAAGCAAGTATTAATTTAACAGAAGAGGAGATAGAAAGAATTAAAAAATAACCTCCTTTCCAGTTCCTCCAGGCATTTGCCAAGGGGCGAACACTCTCAGTCAGGTTCCTCTTTGACCTGATCAGTTCTGCACTGGGGTAGGAGATCAAACCCCATCCTTTGACATACCTCAGCTTCTCTCCTCCACACCCTCCTTCCCCCCTGCCTTAGCCCTGCTCCCTTCTACTCCCCACCCTACCCCGTCCTCTCCTGGAGAAATAGGATAGCTAAACCCATTTGAATGAGGGGAAGTGCTTTTTACCTCTTTCCCCTTAGGCTCACTTTCTCCTCTGCCTTTTTGTCTTGCTCCTTGCTAATGGGAGAAACCGAGATGCAATGCAGACACTTGCTGTTTTGTCCTTTTATAAAACAGCCGAGGAGACAAGTGATGGTTAAACAATTACTGCAAAGGAATTTAAAGGTTAGTGCATTCAGCATCCTTCTCCATTCAGGTGTACCTACAAGCAGCTGTGCTGCAACTGGAACATAAAGAGCTCAATTTAATTAACACTGACACAGACCCAGCAATGTGCACCAAAGACACCAAGCATTAAGAGACTTGTCAAAAGAAATACATTAAAATGTAGCCAGATTTTCAGTCATTTATTACTTTGCACGTAATGATTCACCTTATCGTTTGAAAATTCAATTTCTGGGCAATAATCAGCAAAACAATAGGGTTAATAAATAATACAGGTTGATCTTTACAAGGGAAAGACTGTGACTGTATTCTCGCTCAACAAAGCTAATTGTCTGAATACAAAAAGGGAGCCCAATTCAGCAGCAATTGCAGATCGCCTCACGCAAGTCTCATAAATGAATGCATTTGAGGAAGAGGCTCAGGAGGGGCTGAGAAAAGGAAACCTCTTGTCTAATACATGGAAAGACAGGCTCTTGAACTTTAGGTTTTTAAAACGTCTGAGCATACAGGGAGATTGCATGTTTCCAGAGGCAAATTCTTACTCTGTCCCGGGGATGTTCCTAGCGCTGAGCAGTTACATTCCTCTCGCCCTTTCGCTCTGTGTTCAGGCAGACTTGCAGTGATGGCAAGCTGATGCTACTGGAGTTTGAGAGCAGAAAAAAATCCCAAAGACCCCAGGACTAGGGTTTATTTTCTTCTCTAATCTGTTTACAGAATCAATGGGAAGTTTTAATGATTTTGTTTACCCATGATGGGTAAGTTTGGCAATGCCCCGTCCAATTACTTGGCTGAGGCATTCACTGAGCAGCCCTTTCTGTATTGACCAATTATTTAATTAAACTGTACTTCATTAATCCCAAACCATCATAGGGAACAGAGCTCTTTACAAAATACACATGTGAGTGAAGTTGGAGAGCACTGAGATTTTCTTTTTCTTTCTTTCTTTCTTTCTTTTTTTTTTTAAATTTCAAATGCTCTCTTCCCTGTTTAATGATCTCCCTGGCAAGCTCAGAAAGAACTCTCGTTTCTAGTCATACATCACCAAGAAGTGGCAAAGCCTTCACTATCTTTATTTCAAGATGATTTCTTTTTCAAGAAAAGGGTCTTATACATTTACTTTACACTAAGGAAATGCTTAAAAAGAGTCCACTCTATCATTATCTCCATATAAATAAAATTTTACAGACCCCGCATTTTTTCTCCTATAAAAATTGCCACTGGCAGTCATACAGGTTTCAAAGGTAAGAGCGATATTAATTTCCATTTCTCCCATCTGAAATGACTCAGAGCTGAAGGAAAGAAAAGTCACGGCCATTTCACTAGTAACAGGATTAAAGCATTTATGAGGCATTGCAGCTGCTCTTTTATGGCACCTGATTGATATTCATGTGTGGTTAGCATTTGTCTGCTAACTTGTGTAACGCAGAGAATAGTAAAAGGGAAACAATAATTGCATGGCTGTTACATATTCAGGGGGCTCTGATTCACAGAAGTGTGCATTTCAGATGGTGTCAAATACAAATTGGACCTACAGGAACATATTTTGACTGATTAACATGCAAGCACAGATGGCACAAAAGACACTGGATGTGTAGGTGTGTTGAAAGCACACACACACCTTGGTTGGAAACAGCAGCATCATTCAATTTCAGCAAACTAAAGAAACAACTTTTTTTCAACCGTTTCGATGAGACACTGCTGGAAAAAATTACATGTATTATCCTAAATTGGACTCCAGAAATACTTAGACTTATTTGTTCTGTCCAATTGTAAGGAAGGGCTTCAACAACACCCTCTAATGTGTTTATCAGGAAATCTTTTTTTTTTTTAAATACTACTTGTCATTCCAGTTTCTGTGTTTCTATTCTCATCTCCCCCCTCCCCCCCCACACACACACCCTGCATATGCTTCAAGAGAAACTGTAACACAATAGCCCATAGTGACATCCACTGGTAGGGACCAGATCTTAATGCCACAGCTGAATCCCACATTACAGAAAAACACCATCAGCTCCAGAAGATTGCTATTTTTACTGCAACATCTGGAAGTGAAGTCCTACCCCTCATTGGGATGTTTGGTCTCTACCCCACCAACCAACCAGATATGTGAAAACGTAAATGACTGGTAGAATTTGACCATACATAGCCAGATGTTTGGGGAATGGATACAAAACAAGCCCAGAACACACTTTAAAAAAAAACACTATTCACCTGCTTCCCCACACATTTCTGTTTTCCCTCCACTGTTTCCTACTTTAGACACCCACTCACAGGCTCTCTTCAGTTTTTCCCTACAATAGTACCAGGCAACTACCAGCACTCCCTCTCCTTTCAGTATCTGTCCCCAAAACACTGTGCCCCTGAAATCAAGTTGTGGGACTTGGTGGTTCTGCTGAAAATTGACTCTCTCTTTCTCTCTCTCATTTTTTTCCTGCCATAACTTCATGGAGACAGCTGCACAAATTTTAAAATGATAATTGCTTTCCTGCTCATCATCATTATGTGAAAGAATCCACCACTCGAACAGTAAATGATTGTCTTCCAGCAAATTGTCAGATCAAAAGAATTGATCAACTAGGACTGCCACAAACTTTCCCCCCTCCAAAAAGAAGCGCAGTATGTACACAACATGCATTTAAGTAGGAAACAAAAGCATTGGGATTTTCACACAGAGACACAGATACACCTTATTCATCCAAGACAAAGAAAAGAAAAAAAGTTGGCTCTACCTGCAGTTGTAGGTCCGGATCTCTTTGTTGTCTCGCTTGCACTTGATTGCCACGAAGATCATAGTGACAAAGAGGATGCCGGCAATGGAGCCCAGTGCGATAATGAAAATCAGGGACAAGTTCACCGAGCCCATTGACTCTTGGGCGTCAAGAGCAGGGGACAGGTAGATTAGGACTAGTGCAGAGGCAGAGAGAGACGTCTTGCCGTGGTCGTGGGCCACCACAATAAGCTCATAAGAAGCCTTTGAGCTCTCGCCAAAGGTGCGAGTGGTTCTGACTTCGCCATTGACCTGATCTATTTCAAAGAAGCCGCGGTCGCCCTCGGTCATGTCGTAGGTGACCCGGCCGTTCTCACCCTCATCATAGTCGTCTGCTTTGACAATGGTCACCAGATAGCCTATGCCAGAGTTGCGGGGGATGTAGACCTCGGCAGTGCCGTTGATCAAGGGTGGGGCCGTGATGACCGGGGTATTATCGTTGACGTCGAGGATGATGACCCGAACCGTGGCATTGCTCTGCAGCGAAGGCAGTCCGCCATCCTTGGCCAGGACCTTGAATTCGAATGCCTTGGTCTGCTCGTGGTTGAAGGATCGAAGTGCGTAGATGTCGCCTGAGTTGGGGTTGATGGAGACATAGGTGAAGACAGGCATGTCCCGCACCTGGGACGGCACAATCTGGTAGGAGACACTGCCATTGAGACCCAGGTCGGGGTCTCGGGCTGACACGGAAAGCAGGTAGGCGCCAGGTGTGTTGTTCTCCTGCACAATGACTTGGTAGTAAGGCTTGGAAAAGTGCGGGTGGTTGTCATTCTCGTCGGTGATGCGAACTGTAAAGGACTTGGCACTCTGCAGCATGGGTACACCGCCGTCGCGCGCCTGGATCGTGAGGTTGTACTGGTCATGCTGCTCGCGGTCCAGGCGTCCGTCCACCAGGATAGTGGAGAAGCTCTCATACTCCTGCAGCCTAAAGGGCACGTTGCCCAGCAATCGGCACTGCACGCGCCCATTGAGGCCCGAGTCTCGATCAGACACCCGCACCAGTGCAATCACGTAGCCCGGGGGGGCGCTCTCGCTTACCTCCACCAGCTCGCTGTTAACTGACAGCAGGTTGATGACCGGCGGGTTGTCATTGGTGTCGAGAACGCTGACGGTCACCTTGCAGTGTGCTGGGATGGAGTTGGGCCCCAGGTCCTTGGCCTGCACGTCCAGTTCGTACACATGGCCCTCTTCATAGTCTAGGGCACCGGTGACTGTGACCAGGCCACTGTGTGGGTCGATCTGGAAGAGCTCACGCGTGCGGTCGTTAACATAGCCGTAGAAGGAGTAGACCACCTGGCCATTGGTGCCCTCGTCTGGGTCGCTGGCATTGAGGCGGATGACTGGTGTATTGGGAGGTGAGTTTTCTGGCACGCTCACTGCATAGGTGGACTCGCCAAACACCGGGTTGTTGTCATTGGAATCGGTCACCTTGATGCTGAGGCCAACAGTGCCCAGATGCGGTGGGTCGCCGCCGTCGAGTGCGGTGATGCGAAAGCTGTAGTGCGACTGTGTCTCGCGATCCAGACTCTTCTCCACCACAAGTTCCGCAAAGCGTGAGCCATCGCCGCGCGTCTTGATCTCCAAGCCAAACAGCTCATTAGGCGTGAGCTCGTATGTCTGCACGCCAAAGCTGCCCGAGTCCGGGTCATAAGCGCTGTCCAGCGGGATGCGCGTGCCAGGACTAGCTGCCTCTGAGATCTCCAGCTCGATCTGTGCCGCTGGGAAGCTGGGCGCGTTGTCGTTCAGGTCCTTGATCTCCACCTTAATCACGCATATCTCCATTGAGCTGGACATGACCTCGAGCGAGATGATGCACTTGGGGCTCTGGCGGCACAGCAAGTCGCGGTCGATCTTCTGCTTGGTGACAAGCAGGCCCGAACTGGGGTTAATGTCCACCAGATGCGGAGCTGAGTTGGACACCACACGGAAGGCAGAGGCCTGCCGTGGATCCAGAGCAAAGCCCGCCTCGCGCGCGTCCTTGGCCACGTTGGCGATCACCGTCCCGGCGCGCTGCTCCTCTTCTACCGAGTACTTGAGGTTAATGAGGGCGGCTGCCTGTGTCCACAGTACGGCCAACAGCAGCAGCACCGGCAGCAGGAGAGACTCCATGGCTGCGCGGGGCTCTGCCTGGCCTCGCCTCTCCACACCCCTCCGAGGCCGACGCCGCCGGCGCTCCAGCTTCCCGCTGACTCGGGCCGCCTGTTGCGCGCGCCCCGGGGCCCCGGAGGCCGCGGGAGGAGTCCCGCCCAGGGCGGCCCGGCGGCGCGGGGGAGAGACCCGCGCCGGCTCCAATGCTGAGGTTGCAGCAGACTCGTAGGGGGTTGGCGGGGGGCCCGGGGGCTCCGGGGGGCCAAGGGAGCGCCACGCGGCCCCGAGCCCCCTCCCTCCAGCCCGGCTCCTCAGTTTTCCCCCTTCAAAATTAGCCAGGCGCGACTGGCCGCAACGGCGCAGGGCTGCGGGTCCGACGCCGTCTGAGCGGCCTGGTAGACGGAAGGCTGAGTCTGGACCGCACTTGGGGCCAAGACCGAGAGGGCCGTGGGAGTGCAGCCTCTCAGGCACTGCCCGGCCTGCCGCGGCGCACCAGCACTGGGGCTGGCGAACGCGTTGTCTGTGCACCTGGCATGCGCAAGGACCTCCCCCCAGCTCTCCTGGCTCACTGCGGAGAGAGAACCCGCCTGGAACGCGCCCTCCGAGGTCCGGGGGGGCCACGCTGGCCTTGTCAAGGTCTGTTGGGGAGAAAGGATGATCAAAGGTGGGACTCTGAGTTTCTATCAAGCGCCGCAGGCGCCCGGGTATCCAGCTGAGCCGGATGGCTGTCCCGCGGCCGGCAGAAGAAGGGGGAGGGGAGAGAGGGAGGCTGCTGAGACAAGAACGCTCTCCCTCGGGCCGAGGCTGGCTTCAGAAGGCTTGGGGGGGGGGGCGTCTGTCCAGGATTGGAGGTGGGCGCGGAGTCCCCTCCACAGAGCAGCTGGACTGCGGGGGTTTGCGTCTTGGAAATCCAAGTTACCAATGCAGCCCGAGCCTCCACGTCAAGTTTGTGAAAACGGGGCGATGGCGATTTATCAAAGTCCAGTTCTTTACAATGGCCCGGGGTGGGGGGCGGGGAATGGGGAAAAGGGGAGGGAAAGCGACAACAGTACCGGCCAGGAGAGGCGGGGCCGCTGCCGCGGGTACCCGGGGTTTCACCTCCTCCCTTGGTCTAGGCTGGGGTGTCGCTCTGAGGGCCGCCGCCGCCGCCGCCGCCGCCGCCGCCGCTGTGGGAAGAAATCCTCCTAGCTCAGTCGAATGTCGTTAAGGTCCGCCTCAGCAGCTGCCACGGTCGACGGTTATGTCGCCGCCAAAGTTTACTTGCGAGAGCGTCTTGATTCCATCCTCCCAGAGAGGCGCTGGCCGCGCTGCGTTTGGGCTCCCTCCCTCCCGGACGCTCTCGCACTCGGGAGGTCTGTCTTGCTCGCTTTCTGTCAGGCTGTGTGTGAATGTGTGAGAGAGGAAGAGTGAGTGTGTGGTGCGGGGAGTGTGAGTGTGGAGAGTGAGCGAGCAGGGGTGGGAGGTTTCGAATCTCCGATGAATGCGCTCAGCCGGAATGCCGCGGAGCGCAACGCGCCAAGGGCCTGCGCCACGCTAAGGACGCGAGTGCCACTGCCCTCTGGGCAAGTCCGGCATGGTGTGCTGGAGCTGTGTGGCGGTCCGCGCCCGCTGGTCGGTTTCCCCCTGCGCCCGCCACCGCCGCTACTGCCGCTGCTGCTCCTCCCGATGCCGCAAACTACTGGCTGTGGAGTCTGGAGAGAGCCGGAGAGAGCCCGAGCGGCCGAGCCGGGCTACGCCAGGCGCTGGCCAATCAGCGCGCCGCGCAGCGGGCTCCGGGCTTGGGGCGGGGCCAAGGCGCGGGGGGCGGGGCGGGGCGGGGCCAGCCGGAAACTTACACACTGGCGGGACCAAGTGGTACCCCGGCCCACGGAGCCGGGGCGGGAGTCTGAGGAGGCCTGGTGGGCAGGGCAAGCGGGGGCAAGAGGACTGGGTGGAGTGGGAAGGGGGATTTGCTGGCGATGCGACTGAGCATCCCCGGGAACTGCGCGCCTCTCATGTTTGTAGGTTGCAGAAAAGATGAGGATTTGATTCCCTCGGCGGGTTCATCACCCCCATACATGCTCGTATCTTGAATATAATATATTCATATTCATATTCTTTCTCTCTCTTCACCCCTCCCCCTCCCTCTTTGTCTCTTCACCCTGGGTTTTGTCTGTCTGCTTCTCTGCCTTCCTCTCCTCTCCTTGTCGGGTACTGGAAGGAAAAAGGAAAGGAGAAAGCGCCCCCGAGGTGGTCAGTCGTCCGGCTCTTGGCCGATGAGTCTTCACCTCGGCTGAGAACCGCGGCAGCCATCCTCCGGGACCGTCACCTCCATCCCTCCTTCCCCGGCTAACGCAGCACTTATTCTCCCAGAGCAGGCCCGGTTCGGTTCGCTCTTGTCTGTTGCTTGTTAATCAAATAGGGTCTGTGTCGCAGGGATTGAACCGCGGAGAGGGCTGGACAAATTTCGTCGCCCCTCACCCCACCCTGTTGGAGAATTTAGCTCCCTATAAATAAACTGTTCGCTGGAGAAGAGCTGGTGGAGCGGACGCCGCGGCTGCGCCATGCCGGGAGAGCCCCCAGCCCTGCGGGAGCTGCAAGGCAAGCTCGCAGTCCCCCGTAGGTGGCCGGCAGCTGGAGCCGGCGCCGGTGTGCGGGGCACCCTAGCCTTCCCGCGGGGTCTCAGGGGACTGCTAGCTCCTCTCAGGCGGTGGTGGCGACAGCTGCGGCCTGTGCCAGTGCTGGGAAGCGGGAGGCCGGCGTGGCTGGGGCTGACATCAAATTCAGCTTGCCTTCCGGACTAAGGAGCCCTGAGGACAGTGGGGGAGTCCTCCCCGCTCTGTTTTGTGGCTCTTAATTAAGGTCACCAGCAGGAAGAATCAAAAACACCCCGCTGAACAAGTTGGGGTTTTTTCATCATAGGTTGGGGGTGGCGGGGACCGGCTCCTGAATTCACAATACTTGGAAGAGTAAACCTATCTTCTGAGTGGGTCGTCTCGGATATTTGGGAGTCTTGGGTGAGCAAATTCATAATTAACCCCAGCGACATTGGCCCAAGTTTGTGGGCCTAAAATGAGACTCGCTTTTGCCCTTTAAAAACATTAAGCAAGAAAAGGGGAAATGGCATTTGGAAACATAATAGGTTTTCTCAAAAAATGCCGTCTTCTTGCAGAAAGCAACCCAGCTTCTTTTAAAAAATATTTCTCCTTCCAAGAGGAGCTAGTTTAGCAGCCTTTACCTTGATGCGGGGAAGGAGAAGACAGCTTCCTCCTACAAAAAGGAATTATTTCAAAAGTGACATTACAAACCCCTGAACGTGCATCTGAAACCAAGGGGAGGGCACGGGGAACCTGATCCGCTCTCGGCGTGGAGAGCCTTTCACTCTTTCACATTAGCATGCAATTCAGCCCACAAAAGCAGGGAGAAAATCGGGGCATCTTCAGTGAGTATCATTTAATTTTGGTCATTTAGATGTGTGGACAGCAGAGTTATGGCTCAAGGGAACCCAGTGGCCCTCCCGGTTTTCTGCAGACCCGGTTGTAAAAATGGGCAAGTAGTAGAGAGTGACAACATGGCAGGCAGCGTGGGCGCATCTCAGAGCTCCGCAGAGAAGAGCTTCATTTGATTTATCACAGTTATTTACCTTTGATGTCGGCGAGTGGAGTGGGAATGAAATGCATCTTAGTCTAATTAAAAAGGCCTAAAAAGGCATTTGAAATGGGTTTGGTATCTGATCACGGGATGTGAGTTCGGCGTTTGGCAGCTTTCTAAAATATAGCTTGGACTATTTAAACAGAACAATTAGCAGCATGCTAAAATGTTTGCATGCTATGCTTAGAAGCTTTTAGCTGTAAACTTTAAGGTGATCTGTTCCCCTTTAAGTTAAAAAAGGATGATGCTGCTTCCTTGTGGTGAAGGCTGTCAGGAACCCGCTGATCAATAAAAGTAAACTGGCGCCTCCATGCCTTGATTGAGCGGGAGCAAAGAGTCTGAGAAGTAGTCTCGGCCATTAACAATCCCCCAGGTAACGAGAAATGGAAGAATTACTCAGGTAAAATGATTAACATTGCCGTGGCATCTGTAAAGATGCACACAACAAGATAAGAAGGCTGCGGACCTCTTACCTTGGGGAGTGCTAATAGAATGTCTATATTCTGCTGTCTTTTAAAGATAAATAGGAGAATTCAATTCACGCACAACGTCATTACCTTTGTAATTGCAATCACATTGTAAAGACATGTTCTGCTTTTGCAAAGACAAACGCGCTCTTCTCTAAGAAGATGGCATCGGGTTCCCTGCTTCCAGCTCACTGTTCACCCTCGAGGCACCCCTCCTTTCCAAGCAGAGCACCCCAAATACTTCTAGCTATACTAAACCACTTTTATGGAATCCAGGCTCTGAGGGAGGCGGAAGAGAGTGCCTTTGCTTTCCCTCTTTCACATCACCCCCAAGCTCAAAGTGATAGTTACACCTCTCCTCCAAAAATTACCTCTTCCATCCTCCCAGTCTATTGCAACAGATAATCCTAACACCGTTTGCTCCCAGAATGTGTTTTTTTTTTCTAATTGGCACACTTGATCATTATGCTCCAACAATGCTATTGACTAAATCAGTGGCGGAAAACGCCTTCACGATCAGGAATTTATTAATTAACTTTATAAAACCGTTCGGGGTGGGGAGACATTCAGGGTGAGGATAATAAAGACAAAAAGTTCTCTCAGTCTTAGCTTCACTTCAATCCTGAAGGGAGCCCCGCCTCCTCAGCCTCTTTAGAGACACAAGAGGGACATCTAGTGACCGTCCTCAGTATTTTTTTTAAAGATTTTATTTATTTATTTGAGAGAGAGAGAGAATGAGAGATACAGAGCAGGAGAAGGAAGAGGGTCAGAGGGAGAAGCAGACTCCCCGCTGAGCGACGAGCCCGATGCGGGACTCGATCCCGGGACTCCAGGATCATGACCTGAGCCGAAGGCAGTCGCTTAACCAACTGAGCCACCCAGGCACCCCGTCCTCAGTATTTTTGATCCAACTTTTGCTGAGCA